CCAACCTCCAATCAGACCCCAGGAAACCGAAAGCCCCCTTCTGGCCTCTTCTCATCTCTTCCCACCCTGACCCGGAGCCCTGCCGGGTCCCCCACCCACCCACCTCCGGGGCACCCACTCAGCCCCTTACCTTCTCCTTTCCACTGGGCGGGGGGAGGGAGCTGCGGGGGTGAAGACCCTCTGGGGATCCAGCGCAGGAGCCTGTGCAGAGTCCCGGCCTGGGCTAGGAGGGGCTTCCCAGGGTCCCAGCCAGGGCGGTTGGAGGGGGGGCTTGGAACTGGGACTGGGGAGGGGGCTGATTCTGAGGCACAGGGTGACTGGGCAGAAGAAACTGACCGAGGAGCAAACTGTGCATAGGGCGTACTGGCCAGAGATTCTTACGAACGGACTGACCCCCCTCCACCCCGCCTCCCCTTCACTGAGTAAACGTCGGGAAACCCCTGGAAGGTCCTGGGGTTCGCGCGGGGTGGGTGCTGGCGTCCTTGGCTGGCGTCCCCTGCGCCCGCCCCGCCCGCGTGGCTGAAGGTGCCCTGCGCGGGCTTCACAGCTTTGCCAGGAGTCGCAGCCACCAGACCTGGGGACAGAAGGGCTTCAAGGACTCCCATTGTGTGAGAGCCCGTGACCCAAGGAATGGGAAGCTGGTGTCATACAGTAAACCGTTGCATGTGAAACAGAATCTAGGGTAGATCTGTTGCTCCACATACTTAACCCCAGCAGAAGTCTCTGCTTTACAAAATAAAGCAATTCAGACCCAGGAGGAAGCCTGGGGCTCATGGGGGGCACCATATGGGCAGGGCTGAGTCTCCTGGCAGGAAAATGTTCAAGATCATAATAGAGAACGTGGGGGAAATTGAAGAAAGAACGTGGGGGTGCAGACAAACCTGAGTGAGGAAATGAATAACAGATTTAAGTCAGTTTTGTTTTCTATCATCTTTCTAATTGCTACATAAACAAGGCCTTCTTTTTATGCCTTTCTGTTTCCAAAAACAATATTAATGTTGGATTGAAGCAATATATAAATTTCACAATTATTCTTCACTCGCTCAGACAACACATTGTTTTTCCCCAAGGTTCACAAAGAAATGCATCCTTTAAAAAAACAAAAAACAGACACATAAAAGGTAGACCTTAGCTCTTCTCTCTGATTAATCTGCATTAATATAAATAAAGACAGAATTTTCAGAGTTGAAAATGAACCTAGACTCCTGCTCTCCCAAACTTCTGCTGAATGCATAAATACAGAAATCGCTGCTGATTTAGATGAATGACACTAGTCCCTCCTAATCCACAATTTTGCTTTCCACCATTTCAGTTACCTGTGGTCAACCATGTTCCAAAATACTAAGTGGGAGGGTCCAGAAATAAACAATTCACAAGTTTTAAAGTATCTGCCATTCTGAATAGCTTGATGAAATCTACTAGTGGGCTCTGCCCTGCCCAAGGATGTAAATCATCCCTTTGTCCAGTGTATCTGGCTGTATACCCTACCCAAGGTTAGTCTTATAGGAGCCAGCGTGGTTATCAGATCGACTGTCAAGGTGCCACAGTGTTTGTGTTCCAGTAACCCTTACTCTACTTAATAGTGACCACAAAGTGCAAAAATAGTGATGCTGGCAATTCAGATATGCCAAAGAGATGTAAAGCACTTTCTGTAAGTGAGAAGGTGAAAGGAAAGAAAAAAAAATCTTAACACTGAGGCCCATCAGATCAACTGTAAGAACAAATCTATCCGTGAAATTGCCTAATTTGTAAATTAAACTCTACCATAGGTGTGTATGTATGTATGGAAAATAAGATAGTTTATATACGGTTCAGTATAGTGTATATAGGGTTCAGTACTATACATGATTTAGAGCAGGGGTGGGGAATGTCCGGCCCACGGGCCGTATAAGGCCCTCAAAATCATTTGGTCTGGCCCTGCCAAGGCATTAGGGATTAGTTAATTAAATGTTTGACAAATACAGCAGGCTAAGTTTCAAGTTGATAATTTTATATGGCCCATGAATGATGTTATAAATATCCAAATGGCCCTTGGCAGAGAAAGGTTCCCCACTCCTGGTTTAGAGCATTCACTAGGGGATCTTGGAACCTATCCCTGCAGATAATGGGGGACTATGGTATTTTTTTATACAAATGTTTGAAAGGGCATCCTTATATTGAGCTCAAACCTGCCTTCTTAGGATTTCCTGTCATTGATCTAGTTTAATTTCTCATGCCATGGAGACAGAATCCAATTTCTTTTCCAATTGATTGTCTTTTAAACATGTGAAGATGGCCATCGTGTCTCACTCACTCCAAGCCCCTCTCTCTGAGCAAACATCCTCCATTCTTTAATTAAACGAAATCTCACTCTTAGTAGTTCCTAGAATCTTCACCAACATTAAGGCTTTTTCTTTTAATCGGATCCACTTAGTAAATATATGTTTACAAATAAAATTTTCTGGTTATAGAAGTAATATATTTATTGTAAACATTTTGAAAAGTTAGAAAAACAAGATTCAGTGTGAGGATTAAATAAAGTAATACATGTAAATAAAGCACTTAACACAATGCCTGGCCCACAGCGACACTGTGGCTGTTACAAAAAAATTAACATGGTCATGCCCCAACAAGTACTCTTTTTTTTTCATAGACGTTACTTTTTAGAGTTTAAAGTTTACAAAACTGAATGAAAGGTACAGAGATCTCCCCTGCTCCCACACATGCATAGCCTCTCCCATTGTCAATACCCTGCACCAGAGTGCCACCTATGTTACAATAGCTCACATTGTTGCATTATCAACCAAACCCCATTTTCTACATTAGGATTCCCTTTGGGTGTTTACATTCTTTGTGTTTTGACAAGAGCATACTGACATATCCACCATTACAGTCTCATAGAGGATAGTTTCACTGCCATAAAAATCCTCTGTGCTTCTATTCACACTTGCCTTCCCACTACCCCCAGGGCAACCACTGATGTTATAATTGTCTCCATACTTTTGCCTTTTCCAGAATGTCATATAGTAGGAATCATACAGTATTGTAGCCTTTTTGGATTGGCTTCTTTCTCTTAGAAATATGCATTTAAGTTTCACGTGTTTTTATGGTTTGATGGTTCATTTCTTTTTAGTGCTGAATAATACTCCATAGTCTGGATGTATCACAATTTACTTATCTATTCATCTACTGAAGGGCATCTTGGTTGCTTTCAAGTTTGGGCAATTATATATAAAGCTACTATAAACATTTTTGTGCAGGTTTTCTTGTGGACACATTTTTAATTCATTTGAGTAAATATTAAGGATCGTGATTGCTGGTTTGTATTGTAAAAATGTGTTCTGTGCCTTGAATGGTACACTGAAAGATCTTGGGTTCGATTCCCAGTCAGGGCATGTGCAGGGGTTCAATCTCTGAGGCGAGTACAGGAGGAAACAGATCAATGTTCTCTCTCACATCCATGTTTCTCTCTCTCTCTCTCTCTCTCTCTCTCTCTCTCTCTCTCTCTCTTCCCCTTTTCCCTTCCCCTTTCTCTAAATCAATTTTTATTTTTTTATAAAATATGTGTGTGTGTTTTTTATTTCAGAGAGAAATGGAGAGGGAGAGAGAAATAGAAACAGCAATGACAAGAGAGACTCATTGATCACTTGCCTCCTGCACATTTCCTACTGGGAATTGAGCCCTGCAATCTGGGCATGTGTCCTGACCAGTAATGAACTGTGACCTCCAGGTTCATAGGTTGACAGTCAGCCACTAAGCCACACCAGCTGGGCTAAAATCAATTTTTTTAAAAAGAATATGTTAGTAAGAAACCACTAAAATGTCTTCCAAAGTGGCTATACCAGTTTGCATCTCATCAGCAATGAACGAGAGTTCCTATTGCTACACATACTCACCAGCATTTGGTGTTGTCAATGTTTTGGAATTTTGCCTTTCTAATAGGTGTGTAGTAGAATCTCATTGTTGTTTTAATTTACATTTCCATAATGACACATGATGATGTTGAACATTTTTTTCATTTGCTTATTTGCCGTCTATATATCTTCTTTGGTGAGGTGTCTGTTTTGATATTTTCCCTTTCTTATTGGGTTGCTTTTTTAAAAATATATTTTATTGATTTTTTACAGAGAGGAAGGGAGAGAGATAGAGAGTTAGAAACATCGATGAGAGAGAAACATCGATCAGCTGCCTCCTGCACATCTCCTACTGGGGATGTGCCTGCAACCAAGGTACATGCCCTTGGCCGGAATCGAACCTGGGACCTTTCAGTCTGCAGGCCGATGCTCTATCCACTGAGCCAAACTGGTTTTGGCGGGGTTGCTTTTTTTTCGTTCTTATTGTTGTTTTGAGAGTTCTTTGATATTTTGAATAACGGTTCTTTATAAAATATGTACTTTGCAAATAATTTCTCCAACCTGTGGCTTGACTTCTCATTCTCTTGACAGTGTCTTTCACAGAGTAGAAGATTTTATTTTCATGAAGTCCAGCTTATTGATGATTTATTTCCTGGATTGTGCCATTGGTGTCTTATCTAAAACACTTTATGATACTCAAAGTCATCTAGACTTTTATTCTATACTAGAAGCCCGTTGCATGAAGATTCACATTTTTCTCCGGCACCGGGACTCAGGCCTTTGGTCCGGCCGCAGCGGAGAAGCCAAGCCTCTTCAGTCTTCAGTCTTCAGTCTTCAGTCGCGACGGAGCCTTCAGTCTTCGTTCCAGCCTGCATATGCAAATTAACCGTCATCTTTGTTGGGTAATTTGCATACTCATCCAATTGGCTGGTGGGCATAGCGGAGTGACACCAATTTGCATGTTTCTCTTTTATTAGTGTAGATTATATCCTAGGAGTTTTATAGTTTTGCCTTTTGACACTTAGGTTTATGATCCATTTTGAGTTAAGTTTTAAAAAGTGTATAAAATCTGTGTTTTCCTCATAGGTTTGCCTAATTCAATATTCTTGGCTTAGAGGAAAATGTAATTGATGAAGTGAACCTGCAAGGATTTCAGATTTTCCAAAGATACATACTCAGGTTTTTTTTCCAAAGAGAGAACTTCAGACTCTTTGTTTCCTCACTAGAAGAGATTGTAGGGGTCTAAGTTTGTGAGGAAATTTGGACATTACATTTCACTATTAGTAGAAATAAAACATCAATATTAAATATACTTTTAAGTGGTTGTATAAATTAATGTATCCTCATAATACCCTATGAGCAAGGTTAACTATTATTTTCATTTTACAGATGTGGAAACCAAGGCACAAATAGATTGTCTAGCCCAAGTAAGTTGAGCCAGAGTGGAACCTAAATAGCCTGGTTTAAGACCTGTTGGGGTCTTTCCTGTAAGAAAATGCAGTCATTTTTAATGGCCACTCAGAGTGAATGAGGCCTCCCTCCTCAGTGCCTGGTAGCACTATTTTACACATCTCTGAAGAATGCCTGTCACATATTGTTTGAAAATTACTTGATGGATGGCACACGTAACTTATTCTACCTGTACTTTTAATAGACGCTTAAC